TGGGGTGGTGCCCCAGGTGGAGCCACAGACCATACCCTGGGGGTACCAGGCCCCAGGTGCACTGTGCGAGCCTGTGGGAGAAGAGGCCCCTTTACAGCAGAAGGTCCTGGGTTCGCGCCCCAGGTGGAGCCACAGACCGTACCAGCCCCCAGGTGCTCTCTGCGAGCCTGTGGGAAGAGACACCTGCCTTCGGAGATCAGTTCTTAAGGGGAAATGGCAACATCCATAAGGTCAAGGATGGAAGGGGGGAGAGGGGAGATTAGAGAGAGGGGGAAAATAAATAAATAAAAAGAACACACTCTACTAAAGAAAACAGGTAGCAAATAGGAGTAAGAAAAGTTGCTCAGTATCATTAGACATTAAGAAGATGAAATTTAAAATCACAATGAATATTGCCACCTACTAAACAGAATGGCTAAAATAAAAAAATTATAAAACCTGACAGTGAGAAGTGCCAGTAAGAATGCAGAGCAATTGAGATTCATACATTGCTAATGGGAGTGCACAGCGGTGTGGCCACTTTGGATGACAGGCAGTTTCTTATAAGGTTAGAGATACAGTTACCATGTAGCAATCCCACTCCCAGGTATTTGTTTACACCAGAGAAATGAAGGTGTATGTGCACACAAAGACCTGTGGCTGAATGTTTATAGCTTCTCTATTTATAATTGCCCCAAACCGAAAACAACCGAGGGTCCTTCAACAGGATGGAAGGATAATCAAACGGTAGTCTCTTCATACAGTAGAATTCTACTTAGCAATAAAAAAGGAATGAACTACTGATATAGGCACCAACATGTATCAGTCTCAAAAGAATTATGGTATGTGACAGAGCTGGTCACAAAAGCCAGATCACATGCTGCGTGATTCCATTTACCCTGGGTATCTTCAGAAAGGGACATAAATCAGATTAGTGGCTGCAAGGGGACTATGTAGGGGAGGACATTGAAAGAGGGCACCAGGGAACTCGCTGCGAAATGAAAATAGTCCCGTGTGGTGGTGGCTGGACACGGTGTACGTTCATCTGAGCTCATCTAGGTGTTTACTGTAAAGGGTGAAACTGAGATTTACCTCAGTTTAGAAAAATTGAGTGGCCCTGCTCTTAGGACTGCCAGCGTCTTGCTCAGGGGAGCCAGAAAGCCACGTTGCTCTGTCACTGGGTGGTTTATAGAGATGGGAACAATGACATCTGAATGTCCTTATGCTTGGACTAAAGTGATGGTCTGTCACAAGCCCATATGGAGGGAGCCTTTTCGTTGAGCAAAGGACAGCAGGGCAGATGTCACTGGTACATCTCAGTGCCCGTTGTCATGAGCATTCCCTTCTCCCCTTGGCCCCAGCAATGGTCACAGTGCCAGCATTTAAACCTAAAACATGGGCCTCTGGAAACAGCCTTCCTGTATTCCTTGATGCTTTTAGATTCCGAGAGTTTCATTTAAATAAGTGCTGATGGATTGAAACATCCTTTTCCCTAAATCATCTTAGAAGGGTTTTGAAAATCAGAGAGATGGGCAGGTTTCTGGGGAGCAACATATTTTGATGTTGATTACCAATTCGAATATTGCTGGTAACAGGAGATGAAATCCAGCTCTTCGTGGTGGCTGTGTGTGGACTGTCGGTTCTGCGTGGAACTGTGATGTGAGCTCTTCCTGCCCCCAGCTCAGCAGTACTGAGTTGTGTTTTGTTGGTTATTTTTTTCATCCTGCTGTAAATTTCAAAATGACAGCAAGGCCCTCTTTTAAGGGAAGTGAGCATGTGGTGTCACTTCCAACTGGTTGTGAAATGCTTGCTTTTGCCTTCCTAAAATGGGGGTGCTGAAGGTTGGAGTTGAGAGTTCAGGTTCAGATTCCCTGGCTGAGGAGTAACAGCCAGGCCCTACCTGCGCTGCTGCAGGGGTCTGTGGAGGGGATGGTGACACGTTCATGACCTTCAGCAAGCCTGCTGCAAATCATAATGGGCCTCTGGAGAAGGCCGCTCAGGCTCTCTTGACTTCCGGGCCTCCTTGCTGTCCCCATGGAAGTGGGGTCATCTCAGCCTGCCTAGAGCCCGGGGCTCGGGCAGCTCTTCCTGAAGGGGCTGGAGTCCCTTCCCCCCACTGCCCATCGTCACGCAGGGCCCGTGTGTCGTGTGCCTTTGCAGGATCTTACCATACCACCTCTCCCCCGGGCCCTCCTACTCACCTGGTTAACTCACCTCAGGGTCAGAGAGACGCCCATGGTTGAACTGAACTGTTCGTCAGTCAGAACCGATCAGACTATGCCACTGGTCTCTGCAGCCTACGCAGCAGACAGGGCTCTGTACCCTGCAGGAGAGGGGACCGGACCTCCCTGTTCTCCAGGAGCTTCCAGCGTCACTCGAAACAGATGGAATATGAGAGTGGTCGGGCAGACAAAGAGACTTTTAGAACCAGTAAAACTGACAAAGGGTCGACTAGGATTTTTGAAGACAGAGAGAAGAAAGGGTTGAAAATACAATGGACCATTTTTCTGTCGTGTTTCCTCTGAGAAGTATGTATTTCTGATATCCAGTGTGAGCTACATGGTGTCCTTTCAAATCAGTGGCTCAAAGAATGAAACACTGAACACTTGATTTTCACTCCAAGTCAGCCACTAACGTTTTCTCAATTACTCTTTTATTATTTATAATTTAGATGAGCTAGTCTCAGCTTTCACATGTGAGCAAAGTAGTTAAAACTCATCTTAATCCTTGTCAAAGCAGGTAAGTCTGTGACTGTGGGACTCTCGGCAAACGTAACTTGTCTACACCTTGGTTTTCTCACCTTAGAATGGGGACAATTATTCCTACTTGTTAGGGTAGTGGCAATAGATCAAGGTGTAGAACACCTTATTGTGGTGCCTGGCACATAGTAGGTGCTCAGTAAATACGTACTGTAATTGAGGAGCAATAATAGTCCAGTGTGTGGTGGCATCAAAGCAGAAGGCACCTGGAAATCTGTTTGTATCCCCGATGATCATTTAGCCAAGAGTCTAGAGTGTAAGATCATTTTAATCTGAGTTCCCAGAGTAGACATCACCTACTCTGGGAAGCTGTCCCTGGCCCCTCAGTCTGCCCAAGATGCCCTCTTGGGCATCCTCAGCCCCTCACTTCCCTCCATCACATTCCTTCCCGAGCTGGTCCGTCTCCTTCCCTGACCTCCAAGTCAGAGCACGGACCCTGGCTGTGTGGATGTTGAGAAGCTCTGAATCGCTGTTTTGTATGTTTCTGCTAGTAGTATAAACGGGGGTGCAGGGTGCCTTTCCAATGGGAGAGGGGATGAGCATCTGGGGGCCTGGTTGGCATGGAGGCTGTTTGTACAGCAGTGAGGGTCAGGCTGTCCCATGCTTGGGGGGTAGGGGTGTGGCACTGGCAGGTGGGCTGCTGCCCAGAGCCCCAAGCCTCACCACGTGCTTCCATCTCCTAGGTCGGGAACTACAAGCGGACGGTGAAGCGGATTGACGATGGCCACCGCCTGTGCGGCGACCTCATGAACTGCCTGCACGAGCGGGCGCGCATCGAGAAGGCGTACGCGCAGCAGCTCACCGAGTGGGCCCGGCGCTGGAGGCAGCTTGTGGAGAAGGGTAGGGAGGCCACCGGCCAGGGCAGCTGGGCCCCAGGCGCTCTGGGCACATCGGTGACCTCTCTGTGCCAGTTTCCTCCAAGGAAGCGGGCAGGAGTGCATCTCACAGTTCTCGCAGTTCTGAGGGCTGTGATTCTTTTGGGGGAGCAGCAGGGTGCTGTCACCCATAAGCACAGGCTGCTTGAGACTTCCTTCCCTTTCCTTAAGACACAGTCTACGCTGTAAGCAGCAACCAAGCCTCCCGTGGCAGCCCCTGTCGTCCCAGGACATGCTGCGCTTGCCCATTTAACTCAGAACAGCCCCCCGTGGGCCCAGACTCGAGTGAGCTCTGATCCGATCCGAGGCCCGGCTTGCTCAGCGCCATGGTTCTGACACTGGGGCCTGTTGATATGTCAGCTTGGCCACATAGCAAGTCAGATGGGACTGGATGGTGATACCCGCCAAGACTTCTAATTTTGATTTTAATGAGAATAACAGGTTTTGCCCCGCTCCCTACCTAGCTAAACACTCAGAAGATTCTGGAGCTCAGTGGCAGAATGCTGCTGTGGGTATGGATGGTGCCAAGTGCTCTTCTCAGCAATGGGAGGGGAGCTTGATTGATAAGGGGGTTTCCTGGGACAGAAGCGGGTTAGTGGGAGTTTCTCGGGGTATATTTTGGGGCAGGTTCTTCTGCCATGACCTCTGCCCTTGGAGGGGCCCACCGGGGTATGTTAGGTCTTCGGGTGGAGGGTTCTGGAGGGCCAGAGATTTCAGAGGGTGGGACCAACTGTCTATTTTTCCCCTGATACTGAACCGGTCGGTCTGTGGGGCGTAGCATGGTGGTTGGTTTGGAGCAGGTGTCAGGGAGTGGGGCAGCTCTGTGCGGGTGGGGGGTGGCCGGGGACGGGTCGTCTCCCGCAGTAAGTGGTAGCTGTTGTCATTTTCTGGTCACATTTCAGGATCCAGCTGTCAGTACAGTCCCCGCTGTCTGTTAAGAGCTTAAGGTTCATGAGCACCTGCCGTTCCCCCCGTGGATCCTGGCACGGTAGCGCAGACCTAGGCAGGACAAGGAGCTGCGATTTCAGAGACACGAGGGGCCAGAGGGTCAGAGGGGCTCACCTCCCATGGTCACCCACTTCCTGCCCGTTCCTCTCTGTCATCGCCCAGCCCCAACAGTGATCATCCCCCGTGAGTGCTGCGGAGACAGGACCTGGGGGTTCCATTGTCATCCCCAGCTTCTGTCATATCCTCTTGGTCCTCACTCACCTATGCCACACCACCCCACACCCTCAGCAGAGTGACAGGCCAGATTTCGAGTCTCCTTCCTGAGAAGAGTGAGCGAGGTGAGTGAGGCACCCGCACACCACTGTCTGGAGGTTTCCGTGGGGGCCAGAGCATGTTCCTGCCCCTCGTGTTTTTAATGGCTAAAGCACGTGGTGACGCTCCCCCCAGCCCCCCAAAACACAGCCTCCATGCTGCTGAGGAGACAGTCCTCTGTTCGACAGGCAGTTCTCTAGTTCCTGCAATGAGCCGGGCTCTTCCTGGGGGTGAATAACAGAGGTCCCGGCCCTCGTCCTCGTCCTTTCTCCCTTGGGAGAATGTGCGGTCCAGTAAAGAGCGAGCCACGGTGCTGAGGAGCCCCCCGGAAGGGAAAGGACAGAGCGGGCTCAGTGACCGGGAGGAGAGGTCAGCTCACTTCAGAAGGCCCCTCCTGCAGCCAGCCTTACGCAAATTAAAAATCCCAAGATGCAGAAATTTGAGTTTTTAAAGAGCCCAGTGACTTTAAAAAGGAAATTTGTGCAATCCCCCAGTGTCCCTCATAAGAGGGGTCTGAATGGATTCGGCTTCAGTTCCTCCTTCTTTTCATCATCCCGGGAACTGAAAAAGGAACAGCCACTGAGAAAAAAATGTCTGAAATGACCAAAAGGAAACCTCCCAGCCAGACAGCGGGGCTGCTGGCCTCAAGCCCCCCGACAGTCTAGTGAGGCTGACAGGAAAGCCCCACCCGGGGCCTGTCTACCCCCAGTGCCAATGACCACTGCTTCCCTCCCTGCAGGGCCCCAGTACGGGACGGTGGAGAAGGCCTGGGTGGCCGTCATGTCTGAGGCCGAGAGGGTGAGCGAGCTGCACCTGGAGGTGAAGGCCTCGCTGATGAACGAGGACTTCGAGAAGATCAAGAACTGGCAGAAGGAGGCCTTTCACAAGCAGATGATGGGGGGCTTTAAGGAGACGAAGGAGGCCGAGGACGGCTTCCGGAAGGCGCAGAAGCCCTGGGCCAAGAAGCTGAAGGAGGTGCGCGGGTCCTGCAGGTTGCCCCCCGCCCAGTCGGCACGCAGCGCTCTCGCTGGTGACCCTGTCCCACAAGTGTCCCCCCTCCTCCCACACTCCCAGGAACTTCTGCGGGCCTCCTCTCAGGCCAGAAGCCCTTGGTAGCTAGCATTTGCCCAACTTTACGTCTTAAACGTAATCCGTATCCACCCATTTCAGTCGCGGAAACCGGGCATCAGCACCACACACTGGTGATGGAGCTCAAAACCTAGGCTCTTAGCCACTGACACTACCTCCTCCAGCCCTGACAACCGTCCGCTGGGGAGGTTCAAAAGCCCCTTTGAGCTAGTAGAAAGGATTAATTTTAAATTTTCTTTCTCTCTTATGAGTTTTTCTCTCAAATTTGTAAATGATACTGAGATTCGATTTCCCAAAGGTAGTGAGGAAGCCACTGAGTTGCCCAGCCTTGGTCAGCTGGAGGCTCAGACATCACACATCCCCTCCCCCGCCCCCAGCACTTGCTGACGCCCCCCGCACACGTGCAGGTAGCCAGCCCGGTGCTCGGGTGGCGGTGCCGCTTCCTTCTACCCCCTTCCCCTACCTGGCTTCACGCAGCTGCTCTGCCTCCTCCTCCTCCTGAGAGTCGCCCAGGTCTTTGGGCTGTAAAGGGCATTCCTTTTTTTCTCTGTCTCTGCTCTTGCCACATCCCTGACCCCATTTGTAATGACACTGTCCCCCTCATGGGGCCATGGCTACAAACTCATCTCTACTCTTATACTGAAATCTGTGACTTTGTCTCAAGTAAGGGAGCTTCCACTAAGTAAATATACACACATTGGTGTGTGTGTGTGTGTGTGTGTGTGTGTGTGTGTGTGTGTGTCACACATACACAGTAGCCTTCAAAAACATGGAAGACGTGGCCGATAACCCTGCCTCCCACTATCAGCCCCTCCCTCGTGTTAGGCTTCTCCCTCGCCGTTCCCGCTGCCTGGCGCGCTCTTCGTGTATACCTCCTCAGCTAGACCGTAAGCCCCATGGAAGCCCAGCTTCTTTGTCTGACGCTGAGTCCCTGGTGCCGAGACCAGAGCCCGACATGCAGCGGGCGTTCGGTCAGTATCTGTTGCCTGAGCCTCGTTGTTGGAACCGGTCGTAGTTCCGCTGGTCTTGCAGCTTTGCTCATCTGCGTAGCCTCCGCCAGGATTTTGAACTTTCAGAAACGCGATGTTCAGGCACTCATTTTCCTGTAGGTAGAAGCAGCAAAGAAAGCCCACCATGCAGCCTGCAAGGAGGAGAAGTTGGCCATCTCGCGAGAAAGCAACAGCAAAGTGGACCCGTCGCTCAACCCTGAGCAGCTTAAGAAACTTCAAGACAAAGTAGAAAAATGCAAGCAAGATGTTCTCAAGGTAAATCTTGAACGTCTGTATGTGTTGAGGGCACCTGGCACCCGGGGAGCCTCTGTTGCCGCTGGGTTGCATGGGTGGATGGAGGCCTACACCAACAAGACACGTTCCTGCCCTCAGGAAGGTCACATGGTGAGCACCTCACCTCACCAGAGGCTGTGTGCCCACCTCAGGACTGGGGACCGATGACACCTGGGCTCTGGGAGCAAAGTGTGGGAGCGGCTGGGGTTGCCACAGGCGGGGTGTGGGAAGCAGGAGCTTATGCAGGACATGGAGGTGGGCACGTCAGCTGTGAGGAGCCGGTGTGCGAGCTGGCACGGGGCTCTGGGCCCCAAACTGCCAGTGGCCTTGAAAGTCAGACGAAATAAAGCTCTTGAGACACTGCTGGCCGGGAGCCCCCGAGTGGGGTGCGGTGGGCGGAGGCGTGCAGGCCAGAGCCACTCCGAAGGGCCCATGGAGGGTGGAGGCCGGGGGAGGGCGCGGGGGAGCCCAGTGCACTGGGACCCCAGGAACCCTGAGGCCGGGGGCGGAGAAGATTTCTGCTGCAGCCTCGGCAGTGAAGGCCCGGAAGAGGTTTAGGCAGAGGCTGAGGGGCTCAGGGTGGAGGGCAGGGGCAGTGAACAGGCGTGTAGCATCTGGGGTGCTCTTCCGTTTCTTCTGTTGTGAAGGGGAGACTGTCCACCACCGTGGGTTAGTGAGAAGAGCAAACGCAGTGGTCGTGCAGGGCGCCACAGATGCAGGTGGCACTCTGCCGGGAAGGCCTGAGCCACAGGATTTAGACGAGACAGCATCTTTCAATTTAGCAGTTACCAGGAAGCGAGGGCCGACGTGGGCAAGGCCGTGGGCCTGTGCACTGGGTCCCCGCCCCACCCCTGCTTTGCTCTGTTCTAAAGGTGCGGGGCGGAGGCTGCCACTGGCAAGGGACTTAGGGGTACAAAGGAAATAGATTGGGGTGCTCCTTAGGTGCTGGGTCACAGCTCCTCTCTGTGCTTATTCCTAATAAAGTCACCCAGAGGGGCTGGCTTAATATTGCCACCTGATAAGTAAGTCTAGGTACCGATGAATTCAGAAGTGGTGACGAAGGACAGAGGTGGGTGAGGACCCAGGTGGCAGAGAGCCCAGCTCGCTTACTCTCAGCCAGAGGGCACCCGGGCTGAGTGGCAATGAACCTTCATCGTGTGGCATCTGGACTTGCTCGCAGACCAAAGAAAAGTATGAGAAGTCCCTGAAGGAGCTGGACCAGGGCACGCCCCAGTACATGGAGAACATGGAGCAGGTGTTCGAGCAGTGCCAGCAGTTTGAGGAGAAGCGCCTGCGCTTCTTCCGGGAAGTTTTGCTAGAGGTTCAGAAGCACCTCGACCTTTCCAATGTGGCCAGGTAAGTGTCCTTTAGCTTCAAAGCCCATCACAATGAAGTAAGCTCACTTGCTGTTCTGCAGACTTGGGACGGCGGTCTTTAGCTTCAAAGCCCATCACAATGAAGTAAGTGGAAGGTTGCTTTTGAGAACAGCTCACTTGCTGTTCTGCAGACTTGGGACGGCGGTCTGTCAGAAGGGTTTCTCAAGGTCATTACGTTCTCCTGCCCTGGGAGGCCCTTCCGCTGAGCCTGTCTGCGGCCGCCCAGAACAGCCAGTCACTGGCCTGAGCCCGACAGCCTCTTGCCACGTGATAAGGGGGCCATGCTCGGCCAGCTCTGTGTACAGTGCTCTGGGGCTAGGCAGGAAGGTGGGTGGGGCGCAGCTCAGACCACAGTCGGCATATTTGAAATCAAGCTGGCGCAAGTCCAGCATTTCTGGTCTGACTTTGAGGTTCCCTGTGAGTCCTTCCAGTGGTTCTAGCCCCAGGCAGCGCAGACCTTCAGAGACTCGGTTGTGAATCATGACGTGAGGCTGGGATATTTCTTCCGTACTTTTCTGTCTTTGGTCCTGTGATGCCTTTGCCAGGGAAGAGGTCTGGGCTAACAGCAGACGTAGACTTCGTCTCCACAGAGCAGAGCAGTTTAGAATCAGCTCACTAGTCGAGGCTCGTTAACTGGAAATTACATTCCATTTTGCTCCTTTATAAAAAAAATTTGAAAGCAACAATTACTGTACAGCTATGCTCCCACTACTTCATTAATCTTTATGATAGTCTGTAAAGTAGGTGGCATTATTCCACCTCTTATTGATGGGGAAGCTGAGGCTGGGTGAGGTTAAATGACTTGCCTGAGGCTACAGCTCACTGGGGCAGGGCAGCCTGTGTCAAGCCCTTCTGTGCATAGACCAGTCCCCACTTGTGAGTGCTTGTCCTCGGCTGCTGTGCCTGGCCTCACTCAGTGCTCCAAGCCACCCTGGCACGTAGATGGTATAGCAGTGTCTTGGGGCTGCCATAACAAAATGCCACAAACCGGCTGGCTTACGTCAGCAGAAATTTATTCCCTCGCAGTTCTGGAGGCCAGGATCTGAAATGCAGGTGTGGGCAGGGCAGGGCCGCGCCGCCTCTGACAGCTCTAAGGGAGACTGTCCCTGCCTCTTCCAGCTTCTGGCGTGTGCTGTCAGTCCTTGGCCTTCCTTGGCTGTAGACGTGTCATTTCATTCACATGGCCATCTTCTCTGTGTGTGTGTCTGTGTCCAGATTTCCCCTATTTTATAAAAAGCTGTCCATAGGTTGGGCCCACCCCTAATGACCTCATTAACTTGATTGCCTCTATAAAGACCCTGTGTCCACATTAGGTCACATTGTGAGGTACTTAGGGGTTAGGACTTCAACATATCTATTTTGGAGAACACGATTCAGCCCACGACAGGTGGCATTATGCCCGCTCAGCAGAGGAGGAAACCGAGACCCAGAGAGAGTAAGTGACTTGCCAGCTATACGAATCAGGAGCGAAAAAATCCAGGACCTGCAGGGACACTCCTTCTCCTCACGGTCAGCTTCCCGGGCAGGGGAGCTGGAGTGAGCTGTCAAACAGGCCCCTCCCGCCCCGCTCCCATGGCAGGCGGTCTCTGCTCTGGTCTTAGCACGCAGCTTTCACGCAACTGAGTATGGACCTCCCGGCCTTTTGGAAGGGATGAGGGGGAACTTGCCTGACACTCGACTCTGGACCTAATTAAGGGAGACCACCCAGACTGGAGCCCCATGTGGCCCAGATGCCAGCGTCTTTTGCATTATTTGACACAGCAAAGCCAAGTTGTTGCCCCCCGGTGATTTAAAGCTGATTTGTCAGAAGCCAAAGCTGTGACCTCCACACCATGGTTATTCTTTGTTCCCGTCTGTGCATGTCGAAGCCAGATGATCACCCAGCTGAACCAGAGTGGGCGTCCTGATCTGGGCCGTGAAGTCAGCTGCAGACCTCTGCGCCTGCTGTGGCCAGGCGCTGGGCCAGGACAAATGAACGGTGGCCATCCCCGCCTTCTGAAAGAGTCCTGTTTCTCTCTCCGATTTAGCTACAAAAACATTTACCGTGACCTGGAGCAGAACATCAAAGCTGCTGACGCCGCGGAGGACCTGAAGTGGTTCAGAACCAACCACGGGCCGGGCATGTCCATGAACTGGCCGCAGTTCGAGGTAAGAGGAGGCAGTGCCGGGCCTCGTCGGTCTGGCAGGGGGCCTGGGCCCACAGGGTCGGGTACAGTGTCTTTCTCGTTCCAACTCTGTTGGCCTTTGCCCTGTTTACGGGGCGGCCTTTGCTCAGGGCTGTGCTAGAAAGTGAGTGGCTGCTCCCTGTTTCAGGGCTTCGGGCATTTCCGAGAGCCTTCTGGACCTCCAGGGAGGTGCAGTTACGTTCTTTCTCATTGGGGACTTTGCTGGGTACTTCCTGAGTGCTGTCATTTCCCTCTCGGTGAGTCCTAGGAGCTACAGGACATGCAGGGCTCCCGGTTGCCTGCCCCACCCTGGGCGTGGCCGGGAAGGGAGTGGCCTCAGTGAACACCAGGCCAGGCAGGCCGAGGGCACCAGCTCAGTGGCTTCTGGTCCAGGATGGAAGGGGAGCGTGGCTTCAGTGTATAGCTGGGGGACTTATCTCCATTTCAGACAGTTTCTTCAACCAGTTTAGGTTCGGGGTTAACTTTCCTTTTTCCCCACTGTCAGGGGTCCAAGTTCCAATATCTTTATGTGCAAAATGCCTGGGGATCTTGGACTTTGCCAGCTCTAGTACTGGGCCACCAGGCCCGCGTCCCCACCTCCCACCCGGATGGTGGTAGAGCAGGCAGTGGCCTCAAGTCCTGCCACCTTGTGCTCCGAGGGAAAGGATTCTGTCTTCCTCGTGTTGAAGCAGGGCTGGGAGGGCCCTCCAGGGCGTGGCTGCTGCCTGTCCTGGGGAGGATGCTGGAGGCGACTGTCTCTGTCCACCTTGGACTTGGGCCAAGTGGCTTCCCCAACACAGTAGCAGCCGGAGCCCAGGTTGAGTCAGGGCTCGCCTTACCCTTTATCAGCTGTGAGACACTAAGCAAGTCATTTGCCCTTGTGACTCAGTTTTCCCACGTGTGAACTGGGGAGACAGTAGCGGCCCTCTCCTCTAGTAGTGGCCGGGGGTTCAGTGACCTGGTCCATGCTGCGTACTGGCCCCGGGCCCACCACACAGAAGCCTGTGTGGCCCCATCTTGGCCTGCAGTATCGTCACTTCTCACATGAGCCTCTGTTTTCTGGAGCTTCTCAAGAAGGTGCTTCGGATGACCATGCGGGTCCCTGCAGCTGAGTGTCCCCCACCCCGGCACCATTTTTAGGACATCTGTTCCCAGCAGGAGGCCCAGAGCAGGCTGTGCCCTTTCCACAGAGGCATTGGGACAAAGCAGGGGCTCAGGGGCCTCTAGGAAGTGGACCTAGAGGACAAAGCACCCCCACACTGGGAAGAAGGGAGTTGATGACATCTCTTGTGTCCACGGGGTGTTTACTGCTCTCTTGAATGCTCAGGGAATCGCTTACGAAACCCCCACCACACCCCAATCCCTTAGGGTCGTTGGTCAGTAGTCAGTACCCAGAAAAGGGAGTGAGTGATCTAAGAAGGAAGACTTGACAGGCTCTCACTGGGCGGGTTTCCGGGCCAGAGCCCATGGGTGGCCCTTCTCTCTGTGGGTCTCTCGGGCTGGGAACCAGCACCCGTAGGTGGCACATGGGGTTCTTACGGGATCATGCTTGCCTTTCTCTAATGAAATTATTTGTTTTTATTTTCCATGCCACAAGGATGAAGTAAGTTTCTATTTGATGGCTAACTCATTGAATTCCAAACCTCCCACAGGGTGCATGCAGCCCATGTGGGTCTGTGTGTGGTGTCCACAGCCTGGTTCTGGCACCACGTGCTGGGTACAGACCCATGGCAGCAGTTCTGCTTGCTGATTTTGTTGTCCAAGTTAACAGCTGGCCCTTCCTTTCAAAGTCAGCCTGGGGTTGATCATATCAGCCCTTGCAAGCCACCTTGTCAGGACCGATTTGTATTCAAAAGGTCACTGTGGGGACTGTGAAATTCCAGTTGAGTTCTCAGTCACCTTATTTCAATTGAGAGAATAATTAATTAAAAAAAAAAAAAATAGTTGACCTGGTCTGGAGTCAGGGGCCCGGTCTGCCACCCAGTCTGTGTGGGCAAGGCACTTGTTTCCTCATCTGAGAAATTGGTGGGTTAGACTAGACGTTTCTAAGATGAAGTCTAACCTTAAGGTTCTATAACTACATGTGAGCAAAGGTGGAGACTCAGCTGTTAATTCAGTTAAAGCTGTCTGATGATGGGTGGAGTCGCGAGGGAGGGAGAATTCATTAAACATACCCCCACACGTGCTTTTCTGGAAAATCATGCTAGAGCTTCTTTTCCCTGCTCCCAGTGTTTTTCAGGGCAGTTGATAAAAGGCTGCCATATGCTGGGAGCTTTGCTTTGCTTCGTTAGCCACCCAGCCTGCTGCTCAGATTGAAAAGGGACCTTTCCAGGGTAGCGAAGAGCGCTGGGGTTAGGGGGGCTCCACTCCTTGGAGACTTGAGCGGTCGGTTAGCTTCTCCGCCCCTTTGGCGATGTGGTAGCCACCCAGCCCCTGGTTTCATTTGCAGCCCTGGGTTCCAGTTCCCCATTGCAGGCTTGCTCAGGGCCCGCAGCCAGCTCTCTTGCCACCCTGGGAACTTGAGACAGTTTGGGGCATAGATGGGAACGGGCTTCAGCTCTGAAGTCCGGTGGTTTAGACTGATGCGGCCTCAAACATGTGAACTTCTCAATTTCTCTCCCTTGGGGCCCATTAGGAGTGGTCTGCTGACATGAATCGAACTCTCAGCCGGAGAGAGAAGAAGAAGGCCACTGATGGTGTCACCCTGACAGGCATCAACCAGACAGGCGACCAGGCTCTGCAGAACAAGCCCAGCAGGTGGGTGCCAGGCGGCCTCCATCCCTGGGAAAGGTCCCTGGGCCCTCCGCGAAGGCTGGGGCGCCCCCATCTTAGACATCCGGGAGAGTCCTTAGGGGCCTCCCAGGGACCCCCGTGAGCATCTGTCCACATACTGCCTGTTGGGCAAGGGCCCCAGGGCATCTCCAGGGAGGGTCATCCGTCCATCTGGTGCCAGAGGGTAGCTAGCTACAAATGTGCTTCAGGCCCCAAGCTAGGGGAAGAGCTGGTGTCAGGTGCTGGTCATGTGTTCTCAGTGGTACACACAGGCAGGTGGAAGTCACTGTCAGTGGTTTCTTTCAGGTGGGCTCAGGTATCTTGGCCAGGTTTGTACTTACTTCCAGGGCTGTGTGCAGGTGCCGGGGGCAGGGGCGGGCAGGAGAGCATCGTCAGTTCTTTTTCAAATCACCTCTTTGTTGAGAGCCTTGCTGATTTCTAACCTCACGTTTGTAAAAGCTGAATTTGGATTGAAGAGGTGGCACTGAGGTCATTAGAACCTCCTGGAAAGCACGTGCTAGACAAGGCCCGCTTCCGGGCCTCGCCGCGCTCTACAGAACCGTGGCCTCCGGTTGCCTCCCCCTCCCCACCAGAGGCCTCCACCTCGTACCGTGTGACGATGACGTCTCGTGATCGTGGCTCCCTAGGAAGGGGCAGCGCAGGTTCTGGGGGCCTTTCTGTAGCCCTGGTCACTGAAGCCCCTACCCAAGCTCCCTAGGCAGACAGGGCCTATCATCTTTCAGCTGCTTTATCACCATCTGGGCAGGTGGGTGTGGTTAAGTGACTAGAGCAGCAAGCACCTGTGTGGCTGAGGGCAGGGGTGGGGAGGAGGAGAAACCGCCCTAAGGACCTCCTGGGGGTGGGGTCTAGACCACCAGGGCTGCTGCACAAGTTCAGCTGCCCTCCACCAACCCCTCGGCAGGTCAGCTGGAGAAAGGCGCCAAGGAGGTGGGAGGGCCTGGTGGTCTCAGGCAGCGGACAGGTTTGGATCCAGTGCCCCTCACTGGGCCTGAAGCCGATGAGGCCAGCTGGGGTCACCCTGGTGGCATTTGCAGCACCTCCTCCTCTCCGCTCCCCAGCTCCGAGCCATCCGTCCTGCACTTTGAGTGCCTGCTCCGTGCAGCCCTGGGCCTGAAGGCGAGAGGCGGTGCTGGCCGGGGTTCCCGTCCCGTGACTTGTCAGGTCCGCCCGCTCAGAGTCAGATGGTGGGGTGCCGGCCTCGCGGGGCCTGTCCTACTTCTCTCTGGTCTTGTCCTGCACTTAACACCTGTAGTCGCTGCGTCCCGTTGCCCTTGGCCATCAGCCCTCAGGCCGGGCTTGGGCCTAATTTCTCTCTGGTCCTCTGGGGCCTGGCACACAGTAGGCAGTTGACACACTTGTGCAGACTCTCTCGGGAGCACGGGAGGGGTTCTTTATTCT